TTACCAATTTTCCACAATGATGAAACATTTTATTTCTATTAAAATATTAAAATTCTTTAAAAGAATCTATTTATAAAATAAGTATTTTTTTAATGAAACAAAATATCCAACTATTCCTGTCAATTTTATCTTTCCTCTTTATGCATGTATTTATTATGAAATGTATAAAACTATTACATGAAAGGGAATCTTCACTGAAAGATTTTAAATACGGAGGTTCAAGTAGTACATAAATGAGACTTCTGCTCAATTCTTAAAGATTTTGACTGCTAAACAGCAACAATTCATACAAGCTTTTCCATAGTAAATTACAAAATAAAAATTATTTCCCTTCCTTAAGAGTGAAAAAAGACAACATCGAGTACAAATGAGTAATTGTTTCTTTTATACATAATTAAATTATTTTAGACTATGATAACACTAAGATAGTTTTGGTAAAAAATTAATCATTTATACGATAGTTTTAAAAATTCCAACAAAAAAATTAAGTAAAAACAAAATTTAATATCTCTCAAAATTATTGTAAATTTAGCTTTAATTAAAAAACTTCTTTCATAAACAACTTAACATTTAATATATAAACCGTTTTATTTTAAAATAATTCAATGAAAATATATATGAATGCTCAAATTCACAGAAGTCTTAAGCGCAAATCTTATTATTTCTATTATTATATAGATATATATTTTTATTTTTTTTTTTGCTATTGCAAAACAAAACATTAAAAATTCACAAATGTATTTTGACATAACGGCAATCTATCAACGTCATAGTGATTTAATTTTTGTAATTTAACAGATTAAATAAAATAGTTTCATTAGCACATATTGTGACAATAATTTAAATTCTGAAGAAAACAAATCAAAATAGTACAGAAAGGACTTCGAATCTTCGTGGTAAATATAAATATATATAATTTCTAGCTCGGGCACATACTATCCTAGAACTTAGAACAAAAAAAGTATATTTTACATGATTAATCCCGCCTTAGTGATGTTTTCGCTTCTATGTTGTGGTCTTACGCAAACACCGTATTTTTTTTTTTTTTTATAATATTGTATTATATTAAGAAATACATATTTGATTGAAAATTTAGAGGTATGGAGTTTTATTCAAAACAATGAACATAAATTATGCATTTATGAAAACTATTGGTTCACCTATTTTCATGAGCATTTTTAACTTCTTTCTAATTGTCATATCTGAAACACATATTACAAGTTTCTGTAAGAGTTGTAGTTTCAAAAAATCAAAAAAAAAAAAATCAGTTTTTTATCTATCACTTGCTTAAAAATTAACTTAGTAGCTTACGCTACTGCCTTGATAAATAAGATCAATCACCTTCATATTTCCTCTAAGATGTTATTTACTAACTGCTGTGGTTTTTATCTAACTGTTCAACTATTATCTAACTGTTTTTCAGGTGTTCTAGGTACTACTGCAACTTTGGACTACACACAGTGCTCCAACAGTAACCTAACATGCTTCATCGGATTAACATCTAAGTATTTGAGTAGCCTCTCCATGATTATAATATCAACCGCCTAGAAGTATTCAAGTACAATCTGAGCTATGTGTGGAATTATATTGTTATGTTTTGTTTCTAATTTAGGGGCAATGCCACTTAGAAATGTTCCTCTCAGTATTCCATGTAGCTTTAAATTCAACAATAATAAAAAATGGCTATGTGATTTTTTTTTTCATCGCTAAACTAACAAAAAACACTAAAAAAATTTAAATTGAAAAGATGATTGGAAAAAGGATTTTTTTTTTCAAATAATTAATATCCCAGCCACCCTGTATACTTTAAGTAGATAAAATTACATAAGTTAAGTTACAAGATTTGTTAAAACAAGAATAAAAGCTTTGTGTATCTCTGAAATAATTAGTTTTGCCCTCCACATATTCACAACATTTGGACCAAGCACTCAGAACTAAAAAATAATCAAAATGAGAAAAATACTGAGTACATAGGTGCAGATTTATTTTTCAGATAGCTTAAGTCCCCTTCTATTTATAAATGTAATGGATGAAATCCACAAAATCTGCAAGCGCCAAACTGCGTGGACAACAATTGGGAAATGGAATTTGAGGACTGCCCTCATACAAAGCCTTCTATACGCAGATAACATAGTCCTAATAGTCGACACCAAGATCAAACTTCAAGCTCTGGTAGAATGGGAAGATGTACAACTGATATGCAACAACGAGACACATGAGATAATGAATGAATATACCTACTTAGGGACCGTAATCAGTAGCTTGGGTAAGATAGACACCGAAATATCAAACAGAATATGTAAGGCGAATCAGGTGTATTACCAGACTACTAATAGCATTATCGGCCACGGCGAAGTAGAGAAGAAGACCAAAATGCATGTATATAAGTCTGTTTACCTACCTACACTCATCTATGGTGGAGAAAGCTGGACAATGCTAGAGACAGGCACTCTAGTCGCATAACGGTAGCAGAAATGAGGTTCCTTAGCAGATCTGTTGGGAGAACTAGAAGGGATCGCATTAGGAATAAAAACAATAGAGAGCAACTAGGAGTTACCGAAGTTAAAACCACTCTAGAAAGACCGCAACTCCAGTGGTTTGGACATGTCTGCCACATGAACGAGAACTTGAATCCTATAAAGATATTAGAGGCTCGAGCCACAGGAAGGAGACTACGCGGACGCCCCAGAATCACAAGAGTATATTCAAAGAATTGGATGTAAAAAAAGACAAAACCCTCAATGAGATGAAGCAGCTAAGCAGGGACCGGGAAGAGTGGTTACGCTGGATTGAGGCTCCTTGACGCTAACTAGTGGCGTAAGAGGAAGACAAAGAAGAAGAAGATAATTAATGTTCCAGCCACCATATATACTTAAAGTAGATAAAATTACATAAGTTATGTTACAAGATTTGTGAAAACAAGATTAAAAGCTTTGTGTGCCTCTGAAATAATTAGTTTTGCCCTCAACACATTCACATTTGGACTAAGAACTCAGAACTCAAAAAATAATCAAAATGAGAAAAATACTGAGTACATAGGCACAGACTTTCCATTCTGGTTGGTACGCGGATAAACCCCCATAAAAAAAAAAGAAGGGAATTTATATTCTGTATAAAAATTATGAGTGATATTTAACATAATTATTAAAAAATTAATAATACAACACTATATATATATATATATATATATATATATTCTTTTTTTCAGTTGGCGCTACAGACCATTAAGATCTTTGACTGCGAGATATGGCCTCCTAGACCACAACCCAATTCCCGATTTAAGTACACGGGGGTAGGGTCATCTGTCCTATGCCCGGTCGGTGTGTTACCTCCAGTAGGCTGATGGGACTCACATGCCCGAGTGGGGGGATCTCGGGCAGCGTGACTTTCCCTTCTAGGCTTCAGCTTACAAGCCTATTTTCCCATCTAGCCTATTTTCTTAATTGGTTTTAGTTGAATTCATTTGTGGGCGGGGTGGCCAAATGGGATAACGTGTGTGCACAGCACCGCCGTTGCCCGGCAACCTATGAGGCAATGGATTTAAAATAGTCACAAGTTCGCGTACCGGTGACGGGGGAGTCTTTTAAATCCCTGCCCACACTTCCTGGCCCGGGAAAACCCGTATACCCATATAGCCTTAAAGGCGAGGAGGGGAGAACCCAAAAAAAAAATAATAATAAATAATAATAATTAATTCATTTATGTAGATTAATTGTTATTGATTTTGATTTGGCGATCAACCCACTCACCTCTCTCAAGTCTGCACCTATGCTAGAGTACCAGCCATATTATTTTAAAATTAACTGAGACTTCTAGCTTAGCTTAATATATGAAAATAGAAGAATAAGAAAGAAATGCTAGCACAATTTAAAAATTCTGTAGTATAAAATATTTAAAACATTTTTTTTGAACAATTTTGTAACAAATAGTTAATAAAGTATGTTTTTGATATAGGTAAAGCTTATGTGATTTTTTTTTATTAGTATGAAATGTTTTTTTATAGTTGATTATAAGTTACAATTAACTTCATAACAATACAATGTCAATAACATATTTAATCTCTCCGAATTTGAATTTAAAATTCAAATGTAAGAAATACCGAAGGTAAATTATAATAACAAATATGACTATTAGTTGTTTAAATAAGCAAAAATACAGCTCTAGCTATAATCTAGTTAGAGTTCAACAATCAATGTAAAAACAAATCTATAATGAATAAACAAATAAATATTATTACAATTTAGTGATGACAGAAAGTTTTATACCAACAAAAAATTTATAACAAACATGAACAACAAAAAAATTCCTAAGTGATAATTGTGATCTATATATTGAAGAAATTAATGAAATCCATACAATCATTTTTTTTTTTTTTTCAATCCAAAAGTTGATTAAAACTCAGAAGAAAATGGTTAACATAAATTTTAAAATCCTTACAATTTTAATTTCTGCAAAAAGGGCCAAAATACATGCAATGATGCCATGCAGCATAACTGTAAACCAATGCTTCATTGCTACAAACACGAAAAATAAATGTAGTAACAAAGGAATTGAAATTATTTTCATAAGATTACAAACATCATGCATTAAAACACATACTATGAACAGAAATATTCTACAATTAAATACAAAATAAATATATTATTCCTAATTGTTATATAAAAACATGATTGAGGAAATATTAAGCTATAAATGAAAAAGAAAATTATTTCAAACTACTTTTAATACTTGCAAACTGCACCAAAGTTTTACTAGAGCATATTTAGAAACAAATATTCTATATTTTGACTAATCCATTCAGGTTTCAAACAGAAAACAAGGATTTAATAAGAAATAATACAGCTCATATACATATTATAAACTCTTAAACAAGATAGTAATGCCTGTTAGAGAGAAAACAAACCTATTTCAATTCAAACTTCTAACAATATCATCAATCATTGAAATAACAATAAGAGCCAAGGATAAAGCAGATAAAATTACATATAATACTATCTTACCTGACCAGCATTTGCAGTAGGTTGTGCAGTCACCACTCTAGCAGTTCCCGACTGATCCTCTCTCTACAAAACAGAGCCCACAGCTAGACCCATCCAGTACTTATACATAATAATCACCATGTGAAACGAATTTTTTATCATAAAATTAATACATCAAAATGAAACCATTCTAATACAATTAAAATATAAAAATGATTTTTATTTTTTTAAATATCAATAACTTTAAATAGTAATAATCAAACAACCAAGTGAATTAATGTAGAATGTCACACAAAGTAAATAATATTAAACACAGAATGTCAGTCAGTTTCACTGACTTTTATGTATCATAAATAAAATTCCCTCTCACCCCCTTCAATATATGTGAAAAAATGATTTTTGTCACAATACTTGAAAATATTTATTAGTTATTAATATTTAAGTCAATGAATGATGAAAAGAAGTGTGTAGAGTGCATGAAGCCCAGGAAAACATTCGACAAGGCTAATTTGTTGATAGTACTAAGACATAAGAATACTTCCTAACAAGTTCCCTTTTCTACTTCTGCTGCTTCATGATGGGGAGGGTGGGTCTGGAAATGTACCTTTTTTTTCGGTTTTTACTTTCACTTACATATATATGTAGTATATAATAAGGGTAAATATTGCGATCGTGAAAATTTTTGAATCTGAGTTTTCAACAGAAATACACGTTTTGGGGTACCCTGAGTCCAAAAACCAAGTGCATCGTACGAAACTGATATTACATATTTAAGATAGGTAATCTGCTAACCGGAAGTGCCATTTTATATCAATGGTGAAACACATTTTTTCAATTTTCTCAATAACGGCTCTAACAATTTTGATTAAACTCGGTATATCATTGTATAATTAAGTGGTCTTTAATATCATATAGGTCTAATCCCCATTGATGTCACTTTACAAGGCTTAAATGCCCAATATTCATATGTGTCTTCCTCTAAAGTACCATTAATATGGTTTATTTGAAATAATTAAATAAAAAATAAATACCTCTCATTATTAAAGAGTTACGGAAAAATGCTAAATATAATTTTTGAAAGAATTTGATAATTTAATAAAGGAGAAAAAAATAAAAATGCTTATCCAGGTCGAAAATGAATCTCTGGAAATATTAGTCAGAAAGTATATGCATAATATATCATTGGAAAGCGGAGAATTTTAGAAAAAACAATATCTAATATAGAAAGTTGTAGAAGGTAGCGGAGAGTGGCAAAAAAATTATAAGTAATAATTTTTGAAAACTAATAATATTTAACGTAAATCACATGTTTTCAATGAAATTAAATGAAATTTACTAACTAGATGTAAACTTTTAAAATATTTTTAAGTTTAAAAAATTATTTAAAATCCACCTAATCAAGGCAATGACATTGTTTAAAAAACTATTTCATTATACTTGTGTGAAAAAAGAAGTAAAATATAAAATCATTTCATGGATGTATGAAGCATATGCTTACAACCTTAAATACATTTACTATAGTTTAATAATTCTATATCTGATATTATATTTAAATAATTATGTATCAACGTCCGTTTATTCCGAAATATTGTCATGTAACTTTTTAGAAAATTAAATTAGTGAATAATTTGATGAATCTTCCCTTTATGATATTCCAACAGTATCCACTACTATTTCATATACTATACTTATGTGGTAGAAGAAGTGAAATATAAAAATATTTCATAGATACGTTTATAACCTTAAATATATTTACTGTAGTTTAATAACTCTAGATCTGATATTATATTTAAATAGTTAGGTATCTATCGTCCGTTTATTCTGAAAAATCATCATGCAACCTTTTAGAAAATTAAATTAGTGAATAGTTTGATGAAATTTCTTTTTGTGACATTCCAACAGTGTCCACTTATAATTAGTGTGACAAATTTTGACCTGTCTATAACAGACAATGCAAATCTCTTAATATTGTTTTGGTAAACTTTGCATTGGAAAATAACAGTTTAATTACTAATAGTCTTACAATCCATAATCAACGGATTAAGTCAATCCATAATCAACCGGTGATATATAAATAGGACTTTTGTCATTTTAATGGTATTCATGATTTGTTAGCTGAAGTTTTTTTAGCTTTAGCTCGGTTAAAAATGTGATTAAAAAATTCTATAGTAGCTCAACATGGCCAGAAAATAATTTCTAATCAAAGTTGAGTGGTAAGTGAACGTTATGTGTTGCATGCACCAGATTTTTAACTTATAGCTCTGGAGCCATGAAATAAAGAATTAAAATTAAAAAGGTGAAAGGCATAGACTAAAACATGTAGATAGAATAAACTTATAGTAAAATAAAGTAGGTAGAATAATAACAGTAACAGAGAACTAAGAAATAAATAATAACCGCGCCCAAAGTAGGGACTAATGAAATAAACATAATCAAAATAAGATAACATAAGAAATAAAAAATGAATTAATAATGAAAAGTAGTGGAATGTATAATATAATAAACGTAAGTGTAGACAAAAAAAATATATATAAATGGGGTGACATAGTTGCTAAAATATGAAGGAATAGTATGCTAAAAGGAAGTGAGATAATCTTAGAATAGTAGTAATTGTAATAATAATAATTGTAGGTATTTCTTAGCCGTGATGAAGGCCTGAACTTTGGGCCGAAACGTCGGCAAATATACAAATAAATATAATTATTTATTTTTACTATTTTTTTTAATGATCACCCCAACCATTCTTCTCTTCAATTATTCACTACAGACGACCATCAATCCACAATTATTATATTTATGTTGTTTTTTTTCATTAATCATTGCCTTTAACGATTATATATTTTAATTATTTATATGATTAAAATAAATAATTATATACCACGGAATATTTTTAGTCTTATATGAGTGCCACTGATAATGAAGGTCACTAAATTTAGCTGACTATACAATTAAATATTAAATAATATCGACACTAGCATTTATGAAAACAGCACATGCTTATGTATATAAGACTATTCTAATTTTTGGCAAAGCTCGGCTGTTGCCCTCATCAGAGGTTTCACCAGTTCTCTATTAATATATTAGGTTACTTCTCCTTTAGATAATTATCAAATTCTTTCATATTTAACCATTTTTTATATCAGATTTCAATGTAACATTGTTAATTATTTAAAATTTAAAAAATTGAAGGTACTTTAAAGGAAGAAATTTTGAAAATTAGGCATTTAAGCCCTGTTAGAGAACATCAATGAGAATAAGAGCTACAATATATTAAAAAACGTTTTATTTTACACTGATTTAATGAATTTAATCAAAATTGTTAAAAGCCATTTTCAAGGAAATCGTAAAAATGTCTAAAATCGATAATATAAAGTGGCACTTCCAGTTAAAATTTTATGAAAAAGTTGCTATAACACCTCAGCCATATAATATACAAACTCAAAACTTAAATACTCAATTTCAGTTTCGTATGACTTTTTAATTTTGAGCTAGGCTGTTCACACACCTAGGCCATTTTGCGAGACTTGGTTATTTGGGCTTAGGGGACATTAAAACATCTATTTCCGTTGAAAACTCAGATTCAAAAATTTTCATATATAAGTGAAATTAAAAACAAAATTGCAAACGCGGGCCAACAAGAGATGGATCAAGCTCTACATCTTCTATTATGAGTTTTTTATCTTAGAGAACTCATTTTCAAGCTGCAGGACCATTTATAGTATTGTGTCTCAGTTTTTGGACAATTTGGTAACAATCAGCATTTGTTGACCATGGTTTTCAATCATACCACTTAAACAAATTATTAAGTTTAGGCCCCTGTTTACCACACTATTTAACGTTCTCAAATTTCTTAACAAGTATGCTTTCCCCTTCATGCACCATTCAGGAGTTATAGGTGGAATAATAAAAAAAAAATCTGGCTTTTTTGTGGGTGTAAAAAGTTTTCATTTGGTGCCCCGTGTTTGCAATTCTATTTTTTACATGATTGAACACATATATAAAAGTTGAAAATATAAAAACTTTTCCCACTTTTTCCGCAATATATTTCTGGTTTCAATCCTCAAGTAACAGGCATCATATTCTTTAAATCATCAACCATTTTTTTAATGCAGTGGCCCATGGTCAAGAAGACAAGGTGCATTTTATTTAGAATAAAAATTAACATAAATACATTCAAAACTTCTCCTGCGATGAGGTCCCTTTTTGAGACCGAAATATCCTTTCTACTCAATATTTATCCTTACCATACCCTGAAACCCCACCCTCCTCCTGACGACTTTAGGGGGCCAATTGCACCGAGGTAAAGGGACTGCCTGCACTGAGTTACTCACCCACCTGTGAAAAATGATTCAAAGAAAAATAATGAGCCTCAGAAATGGACAGATTTCGCAGAAATGACACAGCAAGGACAAAGATATACAAATAGCTATATAGAACATTGGAATCTTACAGAAAAAAGGCAAGTTAAAAAAAATAAAAAAATTTAATGCTGAAAGGGACAAGAGCAAGGGAAAGAAGAAGTGTTTTTAAAGTATATCATGGTTTTTTAAGAATATGAAGCAATAATAAAAATATATTTAATTTAAATGATTAAAAATTACTTCACAGTAAACTAGACTAAATTTACTTCAAATTAAAGTAAAATTTGTCATAGTTAAAAACCATTTAAAGAGCGGAGAAACAAAGCTAAGTTCTGTTTTAAAAAAAGAAATGAATTATTTCCGTTTAATTTTTAAAAACCACTAACTATACTACAGATACCCCACTTTTAGAAAAACTTCCTTGTTTGATAAGCTTCAAGTCTTCATCGATTAAGTTGAGGCTCATTACCAAATAAGTTGAGATTTATCTAAAGTTGTGTAAAAAAAAAAAAAAAAAGAGGTGATTTGAAATCTTGATACTTAAAAGTAATCATGTTTTCAGCTAAAAGGACTACAATAAATTATTGTAAAGCTTTAATTTTCACAGCCTGGGATGTTTTATAATAACCATAGAAGCATTAATACACATTTTATTTTTTTTTTCAAAGGTAAAAATAATGATTTTATTTTTTATCGTCTAAAGTGATAATGAAACAGTGTTTC